GGTGTGTGTGTGTGTGTGTGTGTGTGTGTGTGTGTGTGTGTGTGTGTGGTATATGTGTGTGTGTAGTCACTTGCATGTATGTTTTCCAGGCTGACGATTTGGTATTGGAAAACCAATTGGTATGTCCTCCCCTGATCCATCATGTTTTAATATCATCTTCATTTCTCTATCTTGGATTCGTTTTTTCTTTTAACTGTGAGCTGTTGGGAAGAGGAAAAAATCTCTCACTTTGAATTCCCTATGCTGCTCAGCACAGCATCTTACACAAACTAGATGCTCAGTGTGTTGACTAACTGAAGCATGAATTAACCATGTCGTCAGCATGAAAGTCGGGTTCTTTATTTAACCTAACTGGTACTATTTTAGCGTGGTTGTTTTCTTCTTTCAAGAGTACAGCATGAACTGCTTTTAATGAGCAAATTGCTGTGTGCATATGTTTCTGTAAATCTGCACTTTCTAGATATTCGTCTTGAACACCCCTGAGTCCCAGAAAATTCAACAGAAGATCTCATCCAAATACGGAACTACCTTTCTAAATACAGCATAGTAACACTTTTTTTTTTTTTTAAAATCCTGCCTGTTTTACTTACTTAGCTCTTTACGGGGGCCATCCCCATCCATGGGAGACCCTGAGACCCCTGAAGTCATCTGAATCCTCACACTGTCACCATGCACCATTCCCCAGCACACCTCCTCATCATGAACCCACACAGCACCCCCAAGGAAAAGAAGAACATGACAGCACATCAGTGATGTTCTGTGCAAGGAGAAGGCTGCCATGGGGCTTGTGCGCCACTCTGAACCCCACAGCCTATCCTCTTCCCATGCTTGCTGGTCCACCACAGCTTTCAGCATTGCCACCTCGTCCAGTCTGAGTCGCTTCTCTCAGCTCACTTGGTTACTAATAAAGCAACCTTGTTACTCTCCAGGTTCCACACCAGCAGCTGCCCAGTTAGGTTACAGCCACCTACTGTTGAACCTCTACAGTTTTCACCCAAGCAGAGCTCTTCCCTTTGAGCACCGTCAAGACTCTCACCAGAATTATGTCCCTGCATGGATAACAACCTCGAATGTTTGGACATTGCTACACAGAGAGAATTCTTCATCCTCTGTCCTGCCTATAGGTCAGTAGTGTACCAGCATTGACTTCACTATTTATCACTGGGTCTTTCTATGTCACCCTAGCTGGCCTAGAACTTATCAGATCCTTCTACCTCTGCTAATCAAGTGCTGAGATTATAGGTATGTTTGTGCCTTTGAATAAACAGGAAAGCATGCTGAGGGACGTGGAGCTAATTGTGTTGAAAGGTTTTCTTACCTGTGTATTAAGTCTCTCCACTGATAAAATAAATCAGATCAGGCTAAATTAATGCACAGTGCACTCCTGGGTGGTCCCAGGGAAAGAGGAGAAACCATGAGGGAGAAGCACTGGCAGGTTGGGGGACCAGGTCTTAAATAACCTATAGGCATGATTTTGACCATCCCAGAGAGAGAAGCTGACCCTTGGTGGGCTTTCTTTGGGGCATGGTCTGGAATGGGAGGAGTGAGGCTGGGTGGAGCTTCCAGCTAAACATGTGCGGCTTAGAACTATAAGCATCCAAATTTTCAATGACCTGCAAGTCCTGTTATTTTCTAAATTAGTGACCAGTGAGCAGCTACGGGACAACAGAAAGCATGCCACACGAATCACAGTATGTTTTCAATGCAATGGACAATGGTATGTAAGCATCTGCTACATAGACTATCCCTTCTGTGTCATTAGCCCCTCACTCATCAGCTCCACCTCCTAGTTCATCGACTTGTTCCATCATCACGGAAACACTGCTACCTTCTGCAGAGGCACAGATAATGATTCACGGGACTAGGTTCAAATATAGGTTAAACATAATTTATTTCCAGGAGAAGTCACTTACACAAGAAGTAGATGGCCGCCTCAGGTTCCCACTCTAAGGATCCACACAGGCTACTCCTTGTGACCAGACTGGATGCAAGAGAGAGCCACCTGCCTCGACCCCAGACCTAAAACTCACTCTCTGTCATGTCCACACCTGTGACCACGCCCAGTCCAGGTGAGGGCAGGGTGGATAACTCACTACAACCTTCCTCTGACTCTTCCTCCCAGCCAGTCCTCCAGTGGACATTTTCTGTCTCCAAGTTATGTTCTCCCATTTATCGCTAGCTCTGTGACTGCCTCCCAAAAACAACCCAAGCTTCACTAAAACTGCTTCTCTTCGAACCACCAGCAACAAACCAACTGGAAAATCCAAGGGATGCTTATTGCTTCTTAACTTACCAGAGCGTTCTATTGCAGATAGTGGTGTGAATCACATCTTTCAGTTTTGAAACTGTCAACATCATTATCCTGCTCACTCTCCCCTTACCTCCCTAGACTACTTGTCTCCTTCTCTGGTTCCTCTCCCCATCTCCTGCCATCTCCCAGCTCTTTTTATTCTACCTCTCGTCCTTCCTTTGAAGACACATTTGTCACTAATGTTTACACAGAAGTGATTCAGAAAGTGGCTCCCTCCAGCTCCCATTTCTCTGCTGCAGCTTTAGCCAGCTATCTTCTAGATACAAACTGTTTCATCAAGAAACTTCAATGGGCTGTAAAAAGCCAGGGGCCATAAACAGAACTCTTGTTCTCAGGCAGTGGTAAGAAGCGCAGGGATGGGATAGTTCAACGTTTTCAGTTGGTAAAAATCATTAGAATTGGTATGACACAGATGACAAAGCAGAGAAAAAAAAAGCCCATAGAAGTTTCTTGATGAGACAGTTTGTGTCTAGAAGGTGGTCTGCCTCTATAACTCTAAGTACTCTGGAATATTCCATGTGACCCTTTCTCAGACATTGCTTCTTTGACTGGAAGGTTCTGCTGTGGTCATGGCATTTTAATGTTCAGAATACACAGCAGTCAGTGCAGCATTGGTGGTGCAAGGGGAAGCTGGCCTCCAAAGTTCACTGCAGTCCTGATGGCAACCTCCACCCCAGGTAGCATCGAGTAAGTAGAGGGCTGAGACAGACTAAATTTAGCCACATCCTGGTACTCAACATAGCCTAAGACTTGGCAAGACAATTTTTTATGCAGGCACACTGCTGACCTAGCATGGTGAACTGGAACTCAACCAAGGAAGAAATCCTGCAATATCTTTAACACAGAAATTCTGCTGACTCATTCTAACTTAAAGCTGCAATAACACTTGAGTAAGAAGCATCCAAGCTTACTCCGCAACTTTTTTCTGCAGAGCTGACAGAATTTGGCATTCAAGAAATTCAATAGTCTTCTGCAATTCCTCCCATGTTGGTGGCGGTCACCTGCATGACAGTGTCTGCTAGCATTAAGCAATAGTTTCTTATAAAATGTAGCCCCGAATAAACTACTGATGAGAGCTGAAAACCCTATCTAGTGTCTATAACTGGAGAGTCATGTGGGAAGCCACCAAAGGCTTGGGGCCGGTTGGACGTGACCGCTTCCATCCTGGTTAAGGCAAGAGCTTTTGCTCACACTTCACACAAGAATAACTGTACAAACTGTTCCAACTTGGGACGAAGCATTTAAACATCAGTGTAAACACAGACACAGAGACAATGGGGCAAATTTTCATCAGTACAAAGTTTCAAAGAATCTACATTAGTGCGAATCCTGAAGCAAAGAACCTTTTCAAAATAGATACTTGTGAGTCATTGTTTACTGTCTTCTTCCTACATAAGTCGTGTGTTGCATTATAAAAAGTAAAATGGAAGAAATTTCTAGACTGAAGTCTAATTATGCTTCAGTCAGTAGTTTATTATGCTTCTTATATACTGATTACTACAGTTAGCATTTAGTTAACTAGCATTACTTCAAATATTTAGTCCATTTAAAATCATAATATGACAAGACTGGACCCATCAACTGTCAATCATGAATCAGAGAAGGGCTCAAAGGGCCCTACCTCTCTTTACTGAACTACTGGCTATTGATGGATTCTGGGGGAGGTGGTAATGCTTTGGTTATATGCCAACTGATAAGCCCACCAGACTCCAGTGGATATTTTAAAACCCCAAGTCACATAGACAATTCTGGCTAAACTCAGTGGGTCTCAGAAAAAGAAAATAAGATAATGAATGTGAAAAGAAAACTTGAAGGGGAAAGGAGTGGGTATTTGAAGTGGGAAGGACACTATCACAGGAGAAGTTACAATAATCAGAGTCTCCTTTTTATATGTATGAGAGTATCAAATTATCAACAACTCAACGAAAGTTATTAAAATCCATATATATATATATATATATATATATATATATATATATATACTCCATTTGGGGCACAAAACATGTTAAATGTCTTCCTTCAGGAAAAGGAAATAAAGACACAGTTACTATTTAGACTTCTCACACTTCTTTAAGTTTTCTTTGCCTCATAATCAACTAGGAAACATCAGTTGCTTCAGTACAGTAATTTTTTGGATGAATCTTAGAAATGAAGTTAGTGTCCCTGCTTCCTAAGAGGATTTGCTGCATACTTACTTGTTCAGTATGAGGTCAAGAATGAACTTGGAGCCAAAGGCTTCGATCTGGAAGCTTGCCTGGGCCAGATGGACAGCCTAAATGCAAAAAGACAGAAGGACAGCCTTAAGAGATAGTTACAGGACCAGCATTTTTATGTAGACTTTTGATGTATCTTTATATATCATTGAATTTCTTTAAAGGACTAGATGTCCCATCTTGGTTCTGTTGGAAGACCTACTTATTCAAGCAGCAAAGAGCTAATAAAAGATCCTCCAAAACAAACCCACTGAGGCAAGAATCAGCAGCATGTCCTGCTGGACTTCCAAAGGACCATGATAAATTTAGCTGAACTCTAATTAAGGCTTGACTTTGAACTATTTTGTGCCCCAAATGAAGTTTGCTGCACACCTAAATAAGAACCCATGCCAGCACTCTGCCCTTCAGTGGGAAGAGAAACTTTCTCTATGTGACAGTAAAATGTGATGGCATAGCCTTCTGACATCTGAAAGCACTTGGAGTATAGCCCCCCGGGAAGATAACATTTATATCCTCCTTTAAGAGTCACACATTCACAAACAATATCCTAATTCAAAACCAAACAATAATCCCATCTAAGCCAGAATCATATTTAGCAGGTGTTAAAAGATTAGCATAGGCCAAATAAGCTCCCTGAATAATGTAAATTAATAAATCAATGAAGAGCTGTCCAAGTGTTATCCAACGTAAAGTCTTACTTTGTTATCCCATCAAGTTAAAAAAAGAAAAAAAAAAGAAAAAAGACAAGGATATATGCAACAACCACACCAATTTAGACTCATTCCTAATGTAGAGGGAGTACCAAACAACAGGTGAAATGCTCTTTGCCTGGTAACTAGAGACCAACTTAAACACACCAGACATCCCCTCTAAGGACTATATATATTCCCAGCTCCCTCCATTGCTACTCCAGGTTCCTCTCAGCCCTCTCTGACATTATTTATCAAATGTACCCCAGTCTTCAAAGGCATCCCAATCGCCCTCCATCATGCATACTCTAGGCGTGAACTCTGGTCCTCAGAGATGCAGGAACACTTAGATTTTCCCCTCCTCTCTCTAGTGGGGTGTTTGCTTCCTTCTGTTCCCTCCAAGGACAGTAAGCACCACAACACCTCACAGGCGTCTTGCAAATGATTATAGATTACTGACCCTTTCTCAAAACCATCCAAACCTTCAAATAACTCACCAAACATTTATTGTCAAGGCTATTATCTTGCCGTAGCCATAAAAAGCATCAACAATAAATCTGGTTTTTACTTCAGTCAGTCACAACTGCCAGTTACTCAATAAAGTCAGTAAATATAATTTTAAAGACAATTAACACATACTAATTTTAAATACAAACCAGTAAGTGGTTCCTGCTACCTTAACACCATCAGCCTCCATCCCAAATGCAAACTATGTAGAGCAAGATCATCACACATGTCTGAGGTTCCTGCACCTAAACATAAAAATAGGAAGTGCCTGCCTTGTCAATGAGGTCCCTGTTGTCTGCTGTGAACCCTCTATATAACCAGGACAAACTGCATAGTCTTTGCATGAATTCATTTTGTATCTCACACCATCAATTTTTGCTTAAAGACATTTATACAGATAAATAAACAAGAGATTATTCTGCTATGGTTTCCAAAAGCTTTTTTTTTTTAAAGATCCAGCACTTATTTCCTGAGACTTAAGCATATTGTCCTCATAAAAATGTTACGTAGCAGAACAATGTCCACTTGTGGCAACCCGGCTTAGCCAAGCTGATCTGTAACCTCCTAAAGTTTCTTTGTAAACTCTAAGAACCTGTTATCAACCCAGGAAGAGCTTATGTTCTAGCAAATAAGCAATGAGACAAATATAAACACCAGGAGGACCCCGTTGGAAAATAGGGTAGCCTGGTGATCAACACAGCAAACCCATTTTGTGCAGCTGCTAGGACTTGCACAACTTGATTTTTGCCAAGTTTATCCCAAGTCAACACAACAAGCTTCAGTGTCACGGAATCCAATGCAAGACTTAGCAAGTAACACTGGGTTTGCCCTTTGCCCTTCCAGGAAGTTCACTGCACAAGCGCCTCTGAAGACACCACATAGATAAAGATGGATGCAGCGAGAAGGCACAGTTCCAGGGAATCCAGCCTCAATGTCTACACAGCCACCACTACCAAGGTCGAGCCACACTCAAAGTAGCCTCAGGACAGCAACTGTGGAACAACTTCCCTGACAAGTGCTCCCAGAATAAAATTTCAGAAGGTAACTAAGACTCCGCTTACAAAGGGGACAAAATTTCATAAGGTGAAGTAAGACTCGTCCTATGAAGGGGACAAAGACATATTTACAAAAACAGGGTCCATAAAAATGAGTGTGGGAGCTGGCATTGGTGGCGCATGCCTTTAATCCCAGCACTCGGGAGGCAGAGGCAGGTGGATCTCTGTGAGTTTGAGGCCAGTCTGGTCTCCAGAGCGAGTCCCAGGACAGGCTCCAAAGCTACACAGAGAAACCCTGTCTCAGAAAAAAAAAAAAAAAAAAAAAAAAAAAAAAAAAAAAAAAAAAATGAGTGTGGGAACAGAGAACCCACATTTTCACATTTTTAAAAACCTGTGTACCCTGTAGGCAAATAACTTGCAGAGTAAAAGTCAATGGATCTGGAAAGGTGGGCTGCCCACTGGAAGTCCTTGTGTGACATGCTCAGTGACCTATGACAGCAAATGTGCATGTGCGGCCAAGTCCGCCACCTTTCCTCCAAATGCTCACGCCTGGAGTTCACTCCGCAGCATCTAGTTCACACCACCACCGTCATCACTCTCGGAATATATGAGTCAGTTACTCTCCAGAAGAGCCGAGATAATCAACCCCGACAGCAACAATGTGCCTGTTTTCCACAGGGGAGAAAATACGGTTCGTTATCTTTATCACCAGAGATATTTTAACAATTTGACATTTCATTTCTAGCAGGCAAGTAGCACATTTTTTTATAAAAATAAGTTTCTTCCACATATTGATCTCCCTGCTCGTATTATCTTAAAACAACTGTAAATTCACGTAATAGAGTTGTGTCCATTTTAAACCATATATTTTTCTTACATTCCGTTTACCTTCCTGCTGCTTTTCGCAATGCAAAGGTCTGCACAGCACAGATTCCACCCACTAAGGCCCTGACAGGGGCTGCTTTCCTTATCCTCTTGTTAGTCCTATACCGTCCTTGATACCACACTTCAACAGATTTGAATTTCAGAACTCAGTTATTGCATTTCCATTTAGAAGATTTTATTAACAAAATTATACAGTTTTAAATTTGAAATATACTTTATAATCAGGTCCAGTGAGTCCCCCTCTACTGCATCTGTATGTTTATATATGCACATCTTTTTAACCTTTAAGACAAGTTCTTTCGGGGGGGGGGGGGTTTGTTTGATTTGGGTTCAGGAAGAGGGTTGCTTACTTATTTGTTTGTTCAAGACAAGGTTTCTCTGTGGCTGTTGTGGAACTCCTCTGTAGACCAGGGTGGCCTTAAACTTAGAGATCCACCTGCCTCTGCCTCCCGAGTGCTGGAATTAAAGGCGAGCGCCACAACACCTGGCTTTGAAGCTAGTTCCCAATCGGTCAGGGTAGACTCATACTCATGCTGTACCTGAGGGCAGTCCGAATTCCTGCCACTGCATCCCAAGTGCCAAGATTATACAGCAAAAAAAAAAAAAAAAAAAAAAAAAAAAAGCCTGGATTATACATTTCTATTTACATACATACATGCATACATATATATCTATATGGTTTTGCACACACACATGCACACACACACACCCCTTACCCTAATTTCTTACCCCTTACTCAAGGGGTAAGAAATTAGATGACTAGCAGAAATGAGTAGGGTTTTGAGTAAGACAGTACACCACTTCTGACTGCTCTAACATGAGTGTAGAATTAACAAGATGCTACACATCACTGAAAATACAAAGGCTACTGGAACTATTGTTCCTCTCTTAAAAAGAAGGGATGACATGGTGGGGTTTATATAAAATGAGCACCTCAGACTACTTCAGAGAGAACTGGTGAACCCCACAAGAGGTCAGCTGTTTTCTCCTTCAGGACGCCTGTTAAACAGCCTTACTTTTATAAGGACATTGTCAGTAATGGTACTGGGGAAGGACACAGAGTTTTATAGGCAAGAAGCATCATTTCACAAGAAGGAGTGCATCGCTGGGCTAAGAATTACCACCCTGGAGGACTGGAAACATCTGTTGTCTCAGCACTTCGCTACTTTTCTTGTGACTAAGAATCTGGCCCAGGGAAATTGCAGGAGCTCCATAAACAAAAACACTAACCGCAATTATACACACAGCCTCCTTCGCTAGAGACAATTCAAGAGTCTTAGCAGTACTCTTGTCCTTCTGGATCCTTCCTTCCTTCCTTCCTTCCTTCCTTCCTTCCTTTCTTTCTTCCTTCCTTCCCTCCCTCCTTCCCTTCCTCCCTCCCTCTTTCCTTCCTCCTCCCTTCCTTCTCCCTTCCTTCTCCCTTCCTTCTCCCTTCCTTCCTTCCTTTCTTTCTTACTAGTAGATGGCACCTAATGCTACCCATATTAAGCAACTTTAGAAGCCCATCCCTTCCTAGGTCAGGTGCCAGTTGTATGCTTTACCATCACACAATACCAAGCACAGACAGCTTGGGTCAGGCACACTGCATACACTGAAGAGGCGCAGTGAGCTGTTCTTGAGACATATTCAAGAGCAATTAATAGAGATTAAAATGAGGAGAAATATATCTACCACCTATAAAAACAAATTAAAAAGCGGTCATTTGAGGATACCCACGTTGTCATGAAACCATGTTTCACGTGGTATTCACTGCCTTTTGTGGGAGTTGAGCTCTCTAGAGTGTACCTATCACAAGAACTAAAGCTGGGAAATAGAAGGTCTACACTTTCCACTTACAAAAGCCAATTTCAGAAGAGTAAAAATTAAGAAAGTTACAGAACAGAAGGTCTGTGATGTCAATCTCCATGCCTCTTTACATACGTGTATATGCTCTACCCCACTGTGGCTTGGGAAGCAGAGGACAATCTGTAAGTAGTTTTCTCT